GTGACCCCCATTGCATCATCACCAAAAGCCTGCTGAATTTTGTGGATTGTTTCCGCTTGGGTATCCCCAAATTTCTGACAAAACTTGATGCAGTATCGCTGCTACAAGCAATCTGTCATCTTGAGCGAAATGAGAATGCGATGAACACGTGTTACACCACTTCGCTATCTGGCAGCCACAGACGCATCCGGCGGTGTTGCGAGTCAGCAAAAAATCACACATGCGCATGAAAGTCCCTTCTACCACTACACTCAGTTTCCCCACCCCTTTGGCCATTACTTACAGCGGAAAAAAATAAAGTCGGATACTTTTTGGACAGCGGTGTACATGTAGAATCAAGTCCACTCACCATACATGTATCCACTACAACACATGTCCTATACAGTAGAATACATAGACATATTTCATATACGATGGGGTACCCAAAAGAAACCGAACTAATTTTTTTGTGGGCAGAGCTTTTGAAGTACCGCATTTTGCCGCTATGTTCGCATAGAGCTAACATTCCTAAGTCGATAAGCCGACTACCGTTGCTGCAGAAGGTAAGGACTAGTTTCGGCAGAGTTTATAGTGACAACTGTTTTGTGTGATCGTCGTTTTTGCAATGGCCCGAACACATGAAAATGTTGAAAAAATTCGTGAAATCATCAAGGAAGATCAACGACGGACCATTGAAGAAATTGTGGAGCTGTCGGGAGTGACTTGGAGCTCAGTTCAGCGAATTTTGACAGAAGATTTGGGAATGAAAAGGGTGGCTGCGAAATTCGTGCCACGACTGCTGACTGCTGAACAAAAACAAGGTCACGTGGAAGCATGCTGTGCTTTGAAAGAAGAGTCCCGAAATGATCAAAACTTTTTTTCAGCGTTTTGCTGATGTTGCTGAGGTGAAGGAAAAAAACGACGGAGGCGCTGTCAAGCATCTCAAAAGATGAATTTAGACAATGTTTTGAAAAATGGAATAAAAGACTAGACAAGTGTATTAGTGTAAGTGGAGAGTACTTTGAAGGGGATTGAAGGTTTGTGCTTAAAATTTGAATAAATAAGTTTAAAAAAAATAAGTTCGGTTTCTTTTGGGTACCCCCTCGTAGATATAAACTATGATTAGAAGACTTATCATCAATTACATTTTGTACTTCACTATACAAACTAGTTCTTATGAAGACCTTTCCTCCATGCAAAGAAATGTAAGCAGCCTCTGCTACATACACTTGTTTCACGATTGATCTCTATGCAGCAAGCCCTGCTTACTGAACAAGTGCAGCCAATATCAATATTAAAACATCAAGCATTGATTTACAGATCAACTATCACATGCATACTGTATCTGTTTTTACTTTTATATTACTTTTTGCATATATTCACTAGTGCCTACTGCTCCCCTTTGGAGAAATAGGTTTGAGACAGATATTGTATGACCTTGTAATCAGTGATGTGATCTTATGATTGAGTGGACCAGTCTTCACTTAATTTGGTGAGAACTTTATGCTGCTGAAGGCCAGCATGACTCAAAATCTTCAATTCTTCTCCGCTGAGTAGTTAACACCATGGTATGCACCATTACTATGGCTTAATGCTGAGTTCTGCCATGTTGCATGTCAACAGACTGGGAAAATGTGTACATAGACTGGATAATATACTTTGATAGATTTGTAACTCTTTCTTTTTCATCACATTTCTCTTGGTTGAATTACTATTTTATGTTGTGCCAGTTTGTCTCATCAGACCACAGGCATTCATCAATGCACTAACTTGTGTTCAGCCACAACTTTGTCACAATGGCTAATATTAGGTTCTTAGGCTAGCACATTAAACTACTGTGCATCCTACTGCCTAGTTGGGAAAGGCTTGTTTAAATGGCGCTGAGTTCAGATGGGACTGGTTGGTTGCCAATCAGATCACTGCCCATCACTCAGGGATACTGCATCTGAATAACACAGTTTAGCATCCAGACATAATTTCATGCCTGAAAATTGACTATAAATTCAAGTTTCATGACATCAAAAAAAAAATAAAAACATTCCATCTGGGAAATATGAATCGCCATATGTTAGTAATGGAACAACTTCTAAATTATCCAGTTATATTGTGATTGGCTCAGAAGAACAAGAATCAAAGCAACTAGAGGACTTCCTTTGTGAACAAGTGGAATGAAGTGCGTGCACTCTCAGACTCAGCATGTATGTGTTTGCAGTGTATACCTGTACTTCCCCTTTCTCTATCTCAGCTCCAACCTCTTGCAGAGAAGTCACTATACAGCAAGGCATAGAGCATACACGTCATCAAGATTTAACCCTTCAGAAATAAGTTACTACAAATAAATGCTGTTATCCCTGTAACAGGCCATGGAGGCCCACAGCATGAGAGGTTGAGGCTCCCACATCTTCTAGACAATCAGCTCACAGATGGCCGTAAGGTTGTCAGCCATACACGCTGGCCACCTTTTACACCCCATGAAGATTCCTGGTACTCATTTCTGTTAAAGGCTGAGTCAACCCCATGGCCATAATGTGGCTTGAAGGACTAAGTAAATTGAAAAAAAAAAATTCACCTCATGGGGACTCAAACCTGTGACCTTCTGGCTTATAGCATTGTGCCTCAACCAACTATGCAACCATGTAACCCAAATTATACAACTATGTACATTTTATTGTATTCCAGCATCCTGTTGCATTAATGTCAAGTACTTCATCAATATATAGAAGGGGAAGTAAATAGTTATCTGCAATGCAGTTGTATTTGTGTTTCTGTTGGCAGCACTGTTGTTTTGCGCAGCAGCGCCATGCGTGGTTTCCTTGTCATTATTTCTGCGCAGGTTTGATGTTGCTAGGTCAGTTCCATCGTCTCTGCCTTGCCATTAATCATGGCTGCTCCGCTTTCTGTTCGCACCAAAGAAGAGCAACGTTTAGTGATCCGGTTTTTGTGGTTGGAAGGTGTATCAGGGGCCGCAATCCATCAAAGACTTTCAGAACAATACAGGAACAGTGTTTTGCTGCAACAGAGTGTCTACGAATGGATTGAAAAATTCAAAACTGGTCGCACAAGTGTCACGTATGAGGAAGGAGCTGGACGACCATCCATGGCCGCAAATGAGGACAACACTGAGCGTGCACGTGACATGGTTCTGTTAGACAGATGAGTGACTATTGATGAAGTGGCAAATCGTCTGCAAATTAGTCATGGTTCTGCCTACGAAATCATCCACAACAGACTTGGGTTTCATAAAGTCTGCGCAAGACGGGTCCCAAAACAACTCACAGTGTTGCATAAACAAACGTGCTTGGACATCTGCCAACAACACTTGGATCGCAATGGTAACGAACGTGACGTCTTCTTAGACAGAATCATCACTGGTGACAAAACATGGATCCATCATTGCGAGCCGGAGAGTGAACGACAGAGTATGGAATGGAAACATCCCCAATCGCATAGCAAGAGAAAGTTCAAAAGCCAACCATCCGCAGGAAAACTGATGCTTAGTTTTTTTGGGACTCACAAGACCCAGTACTGGAACATTATCAGGAGAGGGGCACAACAATAAACAGTGCTCGTTACAGTGAGATGCTTACTGACAGGCTAAAGCCGAGGACTACTGTCGAAAGGTGTTTTGTGTTGTTGCACGACAATGCCCGTCCACATACTGCTGCCCACATTGCTGAAACCCTCCGGATGGCTCATCCTCCGTATAGTCCTGATCTCGCCCCTTCTGACTACCACTTGTTTGGTCCACTCAAAGAGGCATTAAGGGGCCGTCGATTCACCTTGGACCAAGAAGTGAAGGAAGGGATGCATGCGTGGCTTGCTGCTCAGCCAAAAACCTTCTTTTCTGAGGGCATCAGGAAGCTTGTGCAATGATGGACCAAGTGCGTTGAAAAGCAAGGGGACTAAGTTGAAAAATGATGTTAATGTAAGTTTTCTATTTGTATTGAAATAAAATTTATAGCCACATTGCGGATAATTATTGACTTACCTACGTATTTCCAGCACAATGCAGCACAAGACTGGTACAGTCACTTTAATCTTTGTTTACAACATGCTTTGGCCGTATATGGCCATCATCATGTGTGCTCCTTATGCTCAAATGTTCATTGCATTGCTTGCCTCAATTTTAAAATTAAAATTAAAATAGGTTGCCGTATTAAATTTGGTAAAAAACGGTTTCAATCTCCTTGTGGGATCTATTAGCATAATCTTCAGCAACGTGGGTATGTTTCATGTAATTCAATGATGGTGTGTATATTCAATTCTTTTATATATGTCTCTTTGGTTGTAGGCCCATTATCCCACTTGTGCAGGGGGCGGTTTTTTTGTTGTATGCATGCAGCCAATGATTAAAGTGACTGCAACAATCTTGTGTTGCATTGTGACGGAAATATATATTAATGAAATACACACATTTTGCCACATCAGTTTGGCCACTACCATGTACACATTTAGAAAACAGATTTTTGAGTCTCATTTTCATTTCACATTGGCCCAAATCCTTTTGAGATAACTTGTTACTTTTCTCATAATAATCAGACATTACTTGGGTACTGCCAACACAGAATGATGATTGCTGAAAATGGAAATTAAACTTAACTAAACAAAAACTGGGTTTATAACTTTAACTTCTGGAGTCAATTTCTTTGGGTTTATAGATGTAACACTCTAGGTCCACTTTCTCAAAATCACATGTTAAGAACAAACATAATGAAACCATAAAAATGTGTTACATAGCATATTTGTTTCATTCAAATACAGGAATTACACACAGCAGTAGTGCAGGCATGATATAAAGCAACTTCATTTTTGTTCCAGTTGCCTAAAGAATATGTTGTACTAATATTTATCCCTGTTTCATGTTTATTTTTAGCCTTGTCACCTGCCTTAAGGAAAGAAAATGGGCTTATTAAATCACCATGCCATATATGTGCATGCACGCATTCAACAGTTTTCATAAACTCTGGTATGACTGTTATGCCATTAGAAGCACCCCCCCCGCCCACTCCCAACACACTTTTCATTTTCTTAATATCAGTAATAACAGCGCAACAGATTTGCAAACTTGTGAGGCACAAGTTACAGCAGTAACACTTAGGGTCATGTAATTATGTATGGCAACAAATCTTTTATAAATAAACAGCTTTTATTAATGTAATATTTTTGTTGAATGTAAAGTAACAACATGATGGCCATTTGGAAGTTACCTTTGGCTTTCAGTTTGATGGTAATAAATGAAACACTGGATCCAGGCATGTGGAATTTGGTAGAGATAGATCATAAATATACCTTCACATTGTTACACACATGGTGACAATACAAAACATGGTTATACTCAACAAATTCAATAAAATGAGATCCTGTACATTAAGTAGTAAGTTCTTCATAAAAATGAACAAACAATGAAAATTTTATGAGTCTGCAGGACTAGAAAATTATGCAACAGGAAAGCAGGCTTTATGAATTTTGCATGTAACTCTGTTTAATAAATGAAATTAGATTTTATTTGGTACTCTTGTGGAAAAATTAATAACTGCACAAAGGAAAGTAATAAATTTGGAAACTAAAGTTAAATAAAGCACCACAATAAGATTAAGGTGTTTGATAAAAACAAATCTGCAGATAGGAATCAACCATCTTCAGAGTAACCAACATAAAATAATGTAACCATAGAAGGAAAAGTGTAAACCATTAACGACTGAGCTATTCAGTTAGTTCCATCACTGTAGAGTCTGAAGGTTCAACACTGTCATCACAGAAGACAACCATGAAGACTCTCTCTTATGTCAGTTCAATTCATTTCACAAGTATAGTCTAGTTTAATATCGTGAATGTTAAGCCTGTTGTTCAGGCTCATAAGGGTTTGTGGGAAACACTACTTTCACATTATATTTTATGTAAAAATTAAACACTTATATTAGAATATCATGAAAATTAGAGGGACTGATGGAAAGTTGTGCAGACAGAAAATGTCAATTCTGATACCATATATGGTCAATTCTTTAGTTTTACAAAAGAATACAAATTTCTTCCTATATACCATGTAATGGTAGACAGAATCAATTTAAGCAATATATAATGCACAGATATAATACAGCCATTGGACAGAAAAGTGGAAGCAGAAACGTGTGAACTTGGAAAACTGTTTAATTGCAAATAAACAATCTAAGTCATCAGTGGAAAGGAAAACTTAACTGACCCACTAAACTGACATCACCATCAGAATTGATCTGTTTAATAACTGGTTGGAAACAATGTGTATAACAGACGATCAGAAAAATATCTGTTGCTGGGTGGTTCCAGTGAATGGAAAAGAAAGGGCAGATTTTATCTTGGAGTTTCACAACCCCTGTGGCTAACACATTAAGCAGTCATATCACATGATATAAAATAAACACTGAATATATTTACACTTCAGGCATTTGACATAAAATTAAATATTTTGATCATATGATTAACACAATACATATGTGAAAATCATTTCTTTATCTTAGATTTAATTTTTACAGACTCTCCTCTTGCAAGATCTGAACTGCCAGACTTGCAAGGACTATCACTACATTGCACCTTCTTGCTGTCTGCACTAGCAGGAACTGTTTTTGTAACAGTTCTGGTGAGCGATGATATGTTTGGTGGACATGCAGTGGCCAACTTTCTTTGTCTAGTACCAATCACAACAGTTTTGGCAGGAACTTGGCTCTTAGTATCCCTACACTCAGGATCACATGTTCCCATCACATCTGCTGAAGACGTACTTTTCATCTCAGGAAAATTATTAACTGTAACAGTGAAAGATTGATTCTCTGGAAATATTTCAAGACTAGAAGTCAGATCCTCATTCACAATTCTATGTATTGTCTGCTTATTCTGTGATGTTGTAGCATTACTATCCAGTGTAGATGAGGCACCTGTGTGATTATTTGTGTTCATTGATGTAACACCTTCACTGGCAGATGCTGACTCACTATGGGAAGGCATTAATGCTTGCATTTGACATGGTACAGATGGTTCTGGTAAACTGATTTCATGCACGAACACTGCTTTCACAGGTGAAAATGCACTCTCTGTAGCTCTGATACATGTTTCTAGTTTACAACTATTTGGAGGCAAAAGGTCAGAACTGTCCTTTAATACTGATTTACTCTTCGGTATACTAATCACTGTTGCACTTGGAGTATTTGGACACAATGCTGTCTGTGATACACAATTCAAAGTACTCCTTTGAACATGTGTAGCTGAGTAACTTTCATGTTGCTTATTCTGGAGTTCTGGTGCTTTCCATCCACTTCTATTGATTGCAGAGTCAGGCACTACACTTGAAACTAACGGAGTTACACTCACAGCACTTTCACCGGAATTTTGACAAAAAGTGTACCTTTCTTGAGTTGGCAAATTAAGGTTTCCTGATTCCTGACTCTTACTCTCTGTGACTAGTAAATCATAGCTGCAAACGTTTTCAACAACATTTGGTAAAGCAACACAATCTTCTGCTTCTTCTTGTGTCTTAGGCATAGAAACAACAGACTGCTCTGAATTTGTTTTCTTACGTTGGGAGTCAATAAGAGAACAAATGGATTCTTCAGAGTCAACTTGTGGACTTCGTTCAGTAATTACCACAGGAAATGGAACTTTCTTAATGTTGGAAGTAAATGTATGTGATGTCATGCTCTCTGTGGAGCTAGACAAACTTGCATTTTCAATATGAGTAGTCCACTGTGTAGGAAAACTAAATGGTAATGAATCATTACAAATGTGATCAACATCTTCAGCTGCTGAGATCAGAACCTCATTTCTAGCACTCACAATTATAGGATTTGAAACACTCACCAATTGCTTCATTGCACTTCCTACAGGAAATTGATCTGGAACAAGGCCACTCTCAGTGGCACTTGATACAGATAACACACCTAAATGTGAAACCAATGCGGAAGATTCTTCTTTTACAACTTCTAGTGGGGGAGATCTAACTGTATGCACACCATGTGGCACCAAAACTTTGCCAGGAGCAACTGTATCTAAAGAGGCAGTCTTTGTGTTCAAACCAGATTTGGAGGTTGCATTTTCACATATGGATGGTTTCTCTCCATTACTAATAACACCTTCCTGATGTGCATTAGTACCAGTAGTGACTTCTGGTATGTTCCCAGTAGGACTTGCAGGTTGTTCTACAGTCATTGTAATGCCTTGTGGTTGTGCCAAGCTCTGCAATGAAAGTCCACCAACGATATCTTGATTGTTGGACACATTTTGCAAGTTTGTTGATGAAGATGCAGGACTGTGGCCATTATTTTGTGTAGAATTTATGGCACCACCATTTGTGCCCTCCATTACAGACTGCTGACTCTGCAAGATGGCGGCTGGCTCTTCATACAGCTGTAAAACATAAGAATTGGCTCTGCATCATTGTAATATGACAACCCATGATGTACAATACCAGTGACTGAAAATGATATTAACCTTAACCAACCCTGTGAAATGTTAACCTTACCCAACATAGAGAAATTCTGAAATATAAAAACATTTAAATGCTGTATTTTACGCTCAACTGATTACAATAAAGCATCTTTAGGAACAACATACTGAATTTACTCTTGTACAAAGCACACCTTCTCTCTGAAATTAATGTTCAGAACAGTGGTGTCAACACATTACTAGAGAATATAAACAATTTTTATCGTCAACGCAACAATACTTTATCATTTATTTATATAGCATGCACTACATGTTTTGAACACAAACAGGTCATCTTCAGATGCTGCAGGTTTCTCACATACCATTACCAGACTGTAACGCTAATATTTCCATGCACTGCGTGCTATATAAATAAATAAATAGATAAATAATACAATACAGTTATGTTGATGGCAAAAATTGTATATATTCATTATATATACAAAATAGGATGGAATCATTAAAAATAAAAATAAAAATAAAACATTACTAGAGGATTTTCATTTCTCAACAGGTAGGTCAACATACAAGTACTGATAATGGAATCAGTGTCATAAGATTTTATGCATATAGCAATGCATGCCATCTTCTTTTTTCAGATGCACATCAATTCTGGTAGCAGACAGGTGTCTGACTTGTGCAGTCATGCCAATGATGCCTTGACAGTGAGCTGGACCAGCCTCAATAGCACATGCCCATTTGAAGTGTTATATCATCCAAGTTACAGTTATCATATACAAGCCAAGAAAAATGAGACTGAGACAGCTTACCATGGGTAAGAAACTAGAAATATATGACATGGTACTGCTTTCTGATTTTTACACTTGCATACAATTCTAAATCAGAATTTTTATTTTCTGTAAGTGTTTTCTCAAGACTACCATTAAGTGAAGAAACCTGCAACTACTGACACCACACATTTTGAAGCCATTTTATGGATTCTTCCTTTCCAGCTGAACTTACAAGATGTCTCAAAAACTGTGAATTGCTGCTGTGTTACAACAATTCATATGATCACCAGAAATATCTGTAACGTGTTGTGCAGAATGTTCTCCAATCAATGAGCCAGTTCTCCCACACTAATGCATGTAGGCATTTGCACAGTACCACATTCTCAAATTTATCATGCATTTTTGAAACCATTAGTCAGTTGGAGGCTCAGCTGAACTGACATCTCCACCATTTTTGCACTTCACATTCTCAGATTTCCAGTACTTCACAACTTACATTCCTCAAATGTCAAGTGAACCTCCACCATTCTGTATTTCAGTCTGAATCATGGGTAATGTATCACAGTTTCCAAATGTGACTAACACCATCTGTTATGTGTATGCCACATTACTTAGGAGCTCATTAAATTCTGGTTCCATCAAAAACAGATATTCCTTATGAAAATGTGAACACAGTTCTCTGAGATACCCTGTATTAAAAAATACTATGATAGCATACTTTATTTGTATTGTATTTTTTATCGATCCTTTAATAATAAATTAAGGTAATTCTCCAAGGAATATTTACAGTAATTTTTTACCAGTTTCTTAGCCTTTTCCCCCTGAATTCTATTCCAGAAAATCAGCGTGAGCATCATACATAAGGGTACATGGTATATGTATTCTTTTAGAAAGGAGTGTGAATAAATATGCCACCAGACACATGATTTCAAAATATGATGTTCCCCACAAAATTCCAAATCCAAGGATAACTGCTGTTGTCTGCATCAATTCACACTCTCAACCCAGTGACATAAATAGATATGGTGATCTACCAACTTTGTACAAGCTTTCTTATTCTCTTACAGTACAATTACAAATATTTCTAACAGTATCAGTCATATTGTTTGGACTCCATTACTCACAGCATCAAACTGAAGATCCAAGAATAGTTCTTGGAGAAATCTCCTTGCTGTAAGTCTGTATGTTGCTGAGCCCATTCGATGGGAAACCTCAGAATAGAGGCACACATCTTGGAACACTGCTGGATATTGCTGTTTCAGTCTAATACAAAACAGAGTCATCATAAAGGTAGCAGCTGTACTGAAAACCCCACATTACTCTTTGTCTAGAACATCTTTAGGGAGGAGAAGGGGAGGAAGAGGGTGGTGGTGGTCAGGATGGGCATTATCATGATGATGATGACTATGACAACTTTCCCTCAAAGATGTTTCAGACATAATTACAGACCTTGTTAAATTCAGTTTTCCAGTTCTTTTTCATTTGAAATCAAGAACAGAAACGTGTTTTCAAACCAACCACCTCAAAGTTTCTTGAAATTTCGTGGATTTATTACAATGTATCATGCAAAATTTCACTATTCTGTAAATTATGTACCTTCACATAAGTTTTGAGGTTTTATGTACCTTCATGTTTCAAAACAATTCATCATAGAAATGTATATTTCAATTTTGGATACACATAATTTCCAAATGTGTTCTTTCCAGTTTTCCTCTATCAGTGATCTTGTTTATTTACTTACCTACTTATTTATACCAAACTAGACATTATTTTCAGTGAGACTCAGGTTGGCTTTCTGGTATTTAATACTCACTGAAGAAGTGTTTGCTTGGACAGTTTGATCCATACAGGATTGCTCATACGCATTACATGTTTAAGGATCTCACGGCGGATTAAAGCTTTACTGGGTGTTCCTGCTTCTTCAGACTCACGTTGATGGCAAGAACCTGAAAACAGAAAATTTTGGCCAGTCCTTTCTTTATAAGACATGAAATTTTGAAAGAGTACTGAAACAGGGTGTTACATAAAAAACACCTCCTGTGGTTTTAGCCTGCAAGCAAAGTATACCGACCAAGCGACCGCCGCTTGTCGGCGAAGTTAGTGCCAACTTTTAGCGGACAGAGGGTGTCGCATGGTCAGTGCAACAAACCCCCATGGCCGTTAATTTCGGTTTTCTAGACCAGAGCCATTATTTCCTTGAAATAGCTCCTCAATTATCCTCACAAGGCTGAGTGGCCCCCGTTCCAGATCCACAACTTCTCAGAAAATCTGGCAGCACCACGAATCAAACCTGGACTTCTGGATCTGTAGCCAGGAACTCTGACCACCAGACCACAAAGGCAGTCGAAACGGTGTTATATGAAACATTAAAATTTCATGGTGATTCTAAGATCATATCTGTTTCCTCATTTAAGCAACATACTGTCACATTCTGTGTACCAATTCACAGACAGTCTTGCTGACATAAATCTGAAGAATCACATAAATTAATGTCTATATGTCTTTACTTTGAATGGTCATTCAAGCTTCCAAACACTGTCTGTATATTGTGTTTCACTCGTCTGTCATTTTCATTAAGTCTGCATCACTGTTAATTCCTTCAGACATGCATGCAATATGGAATCATTTGTTATAGGACAGTGATCCCCAAGCTGTGTTCCTTAGTAACGTGGAGTTCCAGAGATGGTTGTCAGAGGTTCTATGGTGCAGTCTTCCTTCAGCAGTTCCAAGCATTTCAGCTGGTCAAGAAATTTGCTACTTTGGTTCATCACTGTATTCATACAAGCCTGATACTGAAACCTGTCCTAAGCTAATTCATACTCTTTGAAGTTTAAAAGCCTTAAGCCATAACTGCAGGTTTTGCAGCTGGTGACTATTATGTTGTCATGGTTTTTCAACATCAAGTACATTGATTGATGGTTGCCTGGAACAGCTGTCTCTAAACATTTATAGTAGGCATGTGCAAGTCTTGAATTTTCAAGATTAAAAATTTCCCATCTTGATTCAAACACTTTGGTGGGAAAGCCAGAAGGAAAGAGATCACTGGGAAGACCAAGACGTAGGTGGGTGGACAATATTAGAATGGATCTTAGAGAGATAGGATGGGATGGTATGGATTAGATAGATCTGGCTCAGGATAGGGACCAGTGGAGGGCTCTTGTGAACATGATAATGAACCTTGAGGTTCCATAAAATGCTGGGAAATTCTTGAGTAGCTGCAGAATTGGTGGCTCCTCCAGAAGGGCTCAGCTCCATGACTGAGTAAGTAAGTAAGAAAGACTGAAACACTGATTTTTCATTCTTGAACTATGAGAATTTTCTGATAACTGCTTTCACTCTGCACAATGGGGTTATGTCAAAAGGGATTTTGCCATATTCAAACAAATGAAAGACAAGTCTTTTTCTTTCTTTTAAGGGTAGTAAAACTAAGGGTTGTCATAAATTTGAATGCTATAGACATATACTAGGTGCTTTTGATCCTTTTAGACTTTTAGCATGATCATAGCATAGTACTATATTAATCCATGTGCAATATTGTACTATATGAGTATGAGGTGAGAAAATGAGAAATATGTTTCAAGTTCAGCAGCCATAAGATGCCATGAAGTTGCCCAAAGTACCATCAAACATATGAAACAAGAACGTTAATTCACTGATGTATGTCACCACTGATGATGCAGGTGCAAAATCTGTTGTCATAACATAAAGCGAGTAAAAAGATTCAAGTGACTGTAATACTGATAAAGTGTGCAGACTGCTCAGAATAACCGAAGAACTATGCCCAATGCACAGGTACCTATGTTAAACTAAGGGATGGATGAGTAAATGAAGTGATGAGGGACTGGATACAAATTTTCTAGAACAGGAGACCAAGAGTATTTGTAAGAAATAAAGGAATGTTTGTGCTACATCCACTCAAAGGTCGATTAACACTGGAGGTCAGATCTGTGATCCAAGCAATGAATACTAACCTAGTGGTCACACCTGGAGGGATGGACTTCATAACTACATGTTCTATTGTATATGCTCTTAAAGGACCATTTGAAAGAACTGTATTCTAAATGGCTCTTAGCAGAGACCATTTTCTGATACCAGTGGGATAATAATCAAGGCCAGTATAAAATGACTGTGCTAATGAACACGACCATGGCAACGGATCTCTCCAGAAGTGATAATCAAATGACTTTAAAGGTGCTGTATATCTAACGAAATGGATGGATGAGGTCAGGAATGTTGACAATGAACATGACAGTAGGAGCAGTGAATATGAGGCAGAGGGTGGGAACTGTGAAGATGAAGCTGAGACAGATAACAAGAATGATGAACAAAGAGGAAATGGTGAAGGTGAATAGAAGCTAATGACTTCAACATGGAAACTTAACTACAAAAATTTCTTCTGTAACATTTTCCTAACATTTATTTTCTTTCACATAGTTCTAATAAAAAGGTAAAGTTGTACCGGAGCTTTAATTAATTGCATGGGGGAGTGGATGTATAGATCCACATTTTCTTGACCTCGGCAATAGCTGGAGCTGAGTGGTCAGTTTCACGACTGGGCCACTTTACTGCCAGGAAAAAAGCCCCGGTACCCATTGGATAGGAGGTTGGGTGGACCCCAGAGCCAGTCTGGACGACATGGGGAAGAGAAAATTCTTGACCCTACTGGGACTCAAACTCCGAACCCTCAGACATCCAGCCCATAGCTAGTCGCTCTACCAACTATGATATCCTGGCTCAATAAGAGTATGAAATTAACATAATTATTTTTCTGTGAAGACATGTTTCCTGGTATGGGATCATCTTCTACTTGGAATCATCATCCATTTACGTACGTATGTTAGCACACTGAAATTGGATAGTGCTATAAATTAATACAGTGAAAAAATTGGTCTGTCAGACAAAATTATCACTATCATCTTAATTCTGAAAGTGTTTCCAAATTTTTGTCTCAATTTCAACTTGAAATGAAAAAGCCATTCTTTCACACAACTAATTTCTAGACAATCTCCTTGAAGATGGTCACTGCACTGTTTACCAAAACATTGGGTACACTTAAGACACTTGAAACGATGAAGCATCAACAAAGACTGCAGTAGATGCTAGAAATTCAAACCAGTTTACATCTTCACAAATAATTTCCCTAAGATCTATTTTAGTATTATCATCCCAGCTATGCCCAGGTGCCCAAATGAACTTCTTTCTTTAGGTTTCTTTTTTACTAAAATTCTGCATGCAGATTTTTCTCCCCTTTGCACAAATGTTCTGAGCATCTCATCCTTCATTTAACTAGCCCAATAATTAACTGAAGACTAAGACTCAGGCTCTTCATTAGGCAATGTTCCCCATTTTCTTGTTGTTCCTTTTTCTTAAGTCCTCAAATAATTTGTCTTCACACATCCTCGATCTATGGTATCTCAGATGGAGACCAAACTCATCTACATAGGTAAATTTATAAAACCAGAAACTGCACTGATGAATTTATTGGAAGAAAACTATTTTTCTAAATATAAGTTACAATTTCTACAGACATATCATTAAAACATAAATGTCTAAAGTTATGATTAGCAAGAAGCGATTGGAGCTGTGCGATTCAGCCGCACAATTCAAGCCGCAGCGGCTGCACGATTGCACCATTCCTAAGACGCGGCTGTAATCAGGTAGATTTGGTGCGATTGGTATAATTACTTCCCGATAGTGAGAGGGAAACGCATGGATAAAAGCGGTATTCTTCGTCTGCTGATGCTCGAAGATGAGAAAGACATGAAATTTTACATCCTGATATTGAACGAGAATGGTGGAAATAGAGCTGTGCATGACCTGTTCAATGCAAGATCGGAGGAGGGATTAAATACCATCCTAATTAATAGGCGCCTAATGAACAATTAATGCGCCATTAATTCAATTAAAACAATGTCTTCTGTGCTTGAAAATGCCATTGCTGTATCCTCTCGAAGCAATGTGATCCATGCGACTGTGCGGCTATATTGGTCTTGTAGGCAATTGACCAGGACCGCACGTCCAAACACGCTGCGACTGAATAATTTCCTACTGCGCATGTGCAGACCGCCGCATCGCCCAGCTGCAAGAGACACTTCTTGCGAATCATACCTTAATACTGTAGTATTGGTTCACAGTTTTCAAGGCAGCTACTGTCAAAGTGTGCCCAATGCTAACACTACAATAGCCACCTTCAGGGAGAATGCCTAGAAACATCTGCAGAGCTATCTGTATGCTACTTATGGACAATCTCCAAACAATGTATTCAGGTACAAAAACCAAAACCATAATAGTCTCTGACTGCAAAAGCCTGCGACCATGGATTACAAGTTATAAACTTAAGGTACTGTAAAATGAAATTTACTGTCACAAGGGCAAGCAATGCAAGTACATGATTATATATAAACAATGGTATGTATGACTGCATATAACTTGTACTCTTCTCCAAGTATAATTAGAATGATCGAGTCAAGGAGGATGAGGTGAGCAGGGCATGTAGCACAAATGGGGGAGAAGAGGAATGCATATAGGATATTGGTGGGAAAGCCAGAAGGAAAGAGACCACTGGGAAGACCAAGGCCTAGGTGGGTGGACAATATTAAAATGGATCTTAGAGAGATAGGATGGGATGGTATGGATTGGACTGATCTGGCTCATGATAGGGACCAGTGGAGGGATCTTGTGAACATAATAATGAACCTTCGGGTTCCATAAAATGCTGGGAAATTCTTGAGTAGCTACAGATTTGGCAGGTCCTCAAAAAAGGCTCAGCTCCATAAGTAAATATGTATGTACAAGAGTAAGTCAATAAGTAAGTTACAAATGAATATAGAACTTAAACAAATAAGAGCAATGATTTGAAAAATGCTTTTATTTCTCAACATAATCTCCCGGTACATTGAGGTACTTGTCCCATCGTTTCAGAAGCCCCTGAAAACCACCAGCATAAAATTCTTCGGGCTGCTGTAGGAACCAGGCGTGTTCACACGGCATGGCCTACCTCATAATGCATGACAGGTTAGGTTTTCACAAAGTCTGTGCACGATGGCTGCTGCACATGCTGACCCCACAACACAAAATGCAAAGAATGGGTCTGGCATTACAGCATCTCAATCACTACCATGAAGGACACAATATGCTAGACCGAACTGTCACAGGTGATGAGTCTTGGGTTCACCATTACCAGCCCGAGACAGCGTGTGTCAATGCAGTGGAAACATCCTGCGTCACCTTGAGGCTGGAATGCGGTGGGCAGTATTCTTTCGTGATCCCAGAAGGCTGTGAGCATCACTTGCCTGGAGGATGGTGTCACCTTAAAATTTTTTTGGCAGTTTCTATAACCATTTGTAACTTTCTTATTGACTTACCTACGTATATATGACTGCATACCAACGTACCAATATCGAGACTAGTACTATTCCCACTCTCCACACTGCCACCTGGAGTGAGTCCCAGCAAACAACAGCTAGCACTATGAGACTTGCGTCGCCTCGGCATCAGTATTGGGGACTCCCCACCACCATAACTGCTTTCGGTATCTATAAAGAACAGGAACCATTCTTTCATTAAAACAAATGTTCCACACACATGCATACACACTCAAGCAATCTCCAATTTACATCAAGGATGTGCTACTAAAATCTGCAATGTAAGTCAGTCATGTTTTTCCTTAATATTTGTATGTTACAAATGCATTCCCAGGGTCAATTTTTTGACTTGCCAGTCTAACTTCAGTCTCACTTAATTACTGATGAGAAAGAGAAATTAAACAAATCAATATTAAAACCAAGAAAGGAAAGACAAGGAAGGAAAAGAACATATACACACATATGTTAACAATATATTATCCATGCCTGAAGAACCAAAGGATAAAAATAAGTCTGAATAGTGAGATTTGAGATTCCCATGGCAGGTGCTGTGAAGAGCACTAGCCCCCAGGATGTTACAACATGTGTTTACTGATATTTTGAAGGAATGTACTACCTCCAAACACCAAGTTAAAGAGAACACCATAGCTGTTTGTTGCTCACTAATCGCTGCATTTACTGTTTCAACATGAAGATGGATGTAGCACATTCCTCCTAAATATTGGTAAATATCTACCAAGCTACATGGCATAACATCTCTGAAGAGACTTTTATTTTTCTTCTCTGGATACAGTTCATTATATCAGTGCATCGATTGTAACTGTTGCTTGGCTCCATATTTGGGTCATCTTCAATGAGAACAGATATCCACTTCTTGAACAAACTCAAGGCTTCAGATATGCTTTTCATCATCAGCTATTTTGTTTGCAGTGTTTGCTGCATTCACTCTACCTCCTGGCCTCTTACCCTTCACTAGTCCAAATCGTTAACATCCTCAGTCAGTTCATCACTGTGCAATTCCAGTGGTTCCACCATGCTGATTTGGTTCTCCCTTGCCAGTTCTACAATCTGTGGCTCTGTTTCAGAAACACCAGTAAATTCCTGGACATTATGAACATACTTTGGCCATATATTCCATTCACTGTAGCTTCCATGAACTCCTCCCTGCTGTCATTCCTATTAAAATTTTTATCTCATCACCTATACAATTCTTCATACTAGTTCATAATACATTCTAGAGATGGTGTTCACAGTCCAGGATAGGCATTGCCTATGCCATTTTTGTACATACATTTATTTTTCAAAATAAAAAAAATCCATTAGAAATGACATTATATTGGACAAAAAATAAAATTAAAAAAATCTGCTATTTGTTAATGACATTATATCAAAAGGGCATAATTCAGAACAATGAAAACTGCTGTGTACCTGTGTAGGTACACACACATGCCGCAGAATACATAGACATGGGCAGAAACTTATTACTCAATGCGATGATGAAGAATGCTTATAATATCTGCAACTGGAAACTTGGCTCTATCAATCAGTCAAAAGTTAAAGCCCATGTTCTAAATCAGTAAATGCTGTGGCATACAGACCTGTTGCCAAGCAGTGACTCTGAAAACAGCAGGTGTCGCTAGGTAACACCCACAACATACATGCATACAACAATAGAATGACTGTGGTATGCAACCAGTTTCTAAGCAACGGATCAGTAAACACACCTACAATGAGAGGGGTATTCTTAGAAATGATGTTCTCTATTCTGTCCATGCAAAATGGTTATGAGTTCAGTTGAGAATCGGCAGTTGAATTCTGGAGCTACAAGTGAGCAGTTGATAAAGAGTTCGGCTCTGCAAGAGAGGCTAAGAAGATGAGTTCAGATGTGGTGGATTAACCAGCAGGCAATGGCATGACCATGGAAGCTGAAGAATCTCCACTGTGTTAAATCTGTTGCCAGGAAATGGGTAGTGGAGACTGTTAATACGAGGTGGTATCCATAATTTCAGGGACTGGTACTGCCATCTGATCAAAAACTAACTTTGGGCCTACTGGCCATCATCACCCTTGAAGTAGTCCCCTTCTGCACATATGCACTGTTCCCAGCACTTGTGCCATTTTTTAAATGCATCCTGGAAGACGTGTTCTGTGAGGGTGTTAAGCACTGCCTGTGGTTCTGCCTCAATCACCTCAACTGTGTCAAATGGCGGCCTTTCAGTTTTGTCTTCAATAGCTGTACCCGGCCACGCAATGCTGTGGCTCAGTCTGGTTAAATGGAAAAGAAAGAAAAGAGAAAGCGCACGTTTCTAATATGTTTAGTTTCACAATGCTTGTGGGTATACAATATTTTTTGTTGTTCCATTGTCTGTGCAGATATAGAGATTGTCTGGTTTGCCGACTCTAGAACACGCAACATATAATTGTCCATGTGAGAAGCAACCCGTGTCTAGATCTAAACTGCACAATTCTAAAGATTGGCCCTGAGCTTTGTTGATGGTGACTGCAAACGCCAATCGAATTGGGAATTGCAATCTCTTAAATTGAAATGGCACATCCGTTGGAATCATAGGAATGCGAGGAATGAGGACATCTTCACCTTTGAAAGGTCCTGTCAAGACTGTTGGTTCTACGATGTTGCTCAATAATTTTTTTACTGCAGGCCGCATGCCGTTGCAAAGCTTTGGCTGGTTGATATTTTGCAACATGATAATTGGCACGCCTATTTTCAATTGCAGTACGTGCGGTGGCATCCCTGGCAGATCGAGTGAATTAAAAAATTCTGTTGGATAATTAACCGCTTCATCTGGTTCCACAACAGTGTCGACAGACTTGTATGTGACTGCCTCGCATTGAATGTTAGACTGAATGATATTGTTAAGTTCGTAGACATCTTTATTCTTGGCCGCAAGAATAGCTTGTTCACTCAGCCAATTGTGATTCTTATAATTGGTTTGAATATTGGGAAATACTTTTTCAACCAATTCTTCTTTTGACGTCACTAAATTGCAGAAGTTATGAGGCAATGAAATTCGTCCTGAGGTCAGATCAACCGGCACCTTTCCGTTCCCAATTTCCAGCAATTGATGTGAGAATATCTCAGCTGATCGATCGTTTTGCAGCTGGACACGCATATTTGTAGTTAATTTTAACGTCTTTACGTGTCGCCACAAAGCAGAGTATTTCAGGTAAGCATTTATTTCATCCACTGGTGTCGATCAAGGAATTACAGGTCATGTTTGCCTGAAATCTCCTGCAAGCAATATTAATGCATTCCCAAATGGTCTGATGTTTCAACGCAAATCTTGCAATGATTGATGAAGAGCCTCGAGCGATTTTTTGTGCGCCATTGTGCATTCATCCCAAACAATAAGTTTGCATTTCTGCAATACCTTTCCCATGCCTGATGCTTCGGAAATATTGCACGTGGGAGTTTCAATGAATTGCATGTTCAATGGCAATTTCAAAGCGGAATGAGCAGTTCTTCCACCTGGTAGCAATGTTGCAGCTATTCCAGACAACGCAAGGGCTAAGGCTATGTCATTTTGGGATCGAATTGCTGCCAGAATCAATCTAATTAGGAACGTTTCACCAGTTCCTCCTGGTGCATCTAAGAACATTTCTGCAACCCCGTTATTGACAGTTTGCATTATTTGATCATAAATGCCTTTTTGCTCAAGTGTTAGCTTAGGAATATTTGATTGCACATATGACAGAAGATCACCCGTGTTATAATTCTGTTCATGACGCAACTCTACATTGAACAAAGCAGTAGCAGATCAATTCGGTGATGACATTCCCAGTTGATTAAGAACTTTGTTCGCGATTTCTAAGCACAAATCTTCAATCATCATCAACACCTCGTTGTAGATTTCTGCTGTGAAATCAATGTTCATATTGGAACTTTCCTTGCGTATTCGACGGAAAATATCTTCAGCCATGTGCGATTTATATTTCTCCCATAACTCTGTTGGAGATGAAGGAGAGCAGGCGGTCAATATGACTGCAAACAATGCACGAATTTGATGTGGATGTGACATGTTGCACGCGTCATTAATGCATACATCCCAGAGTTGATCATTCTCCAATAAATTCAGAGCTTGACGTGCACTGCGGAAAGTGGCATGTGTAATGCCGTTGACAATTCTCAACTGCTGGAAAGACGTTGGACAGGGCACATTTACCAACAGCATGCGAAGAAAGAAGCACTCATCTTGACTGGGATGCATGGTGTACATCCTGCCTATCATAGTTTCTTTGAATATGCCAGTTTGTCCGTCGACTCGCTCTCCTCATTTGCATCGTTCAAAGGATTTTCTACTCACATTCCATGTGTAATACGCAGGCACTTCCGAATACAGCAGTGTTTTCACAAACGCGTCATTTTGACATAACGCGAAGAAAGCAGTTAACGTTGTAGCCGGTGGATTCAGGGCTATTTGTTGCACATTTGCAGTTGTGAAATAAACGCGTTGTCCATTTTCTAGATGTACTGCTAAGTGAACAACAGCTGGACTTCGTTCATGTATGGGAAATGAAAGAATTCGCCATACAGCTTCAATGCTGCTTATGTATCTTCCAGCCTGATACTGTGCGATTTCATCAATACGTATGACCGCATTCCTATCACTACTTTCTGGTTGCACCCCAAAAACTGCCATGTCGCTGCCTTTATTCACGTACTTACAAATGTATTTGATCGATTTAACAGAGTTGCAGTATTCCACGTTTATGTGCGCTTTGTATGTTTTTGATAGTAAAGGCGAATATGGAACAACCCACTGGTTATCCACCTCGATGTCACTGTTTCACATTTGTATGGTTGCTAATTTACCGCCATCTTCTGCTGATCTTCTTCTGTATGAAGGATATCCATCGTTTCCTGTAACTGTGTTGGATAGTAATGCTCGAGGATATCACTTAGAGCATTTTCCGTCTATCATGCATGGTGAATTTGGATTCAGTGTACCGCAAGGTCCATGTATCATATTTTTCGTCACAACTTCATGCAAATCCTTATCGACGTCGGCATCGGGTATTTCAGCTCATATTACATCGTCAATTTCGTTTGAAGTGATTTTGTTATAGAGCCAGATTAGTATATGTGTGTGTGGCAATCCTCTTTTTTGCCATTCCACTGAGTACATCCAGCAGCGCACAGACCCAAACACTTC